AAGACAATAACTGGCCTGCTAATGTCTCGGTAATAACTTGCCGCATCCCTTCGTCCATCGGGCCATACATTATGCTAACGTCTGGGAACTCTCTGCTCAGATTTCTCATAGCTGCTTGGAGATTGTCGTTTTTATATGCGATTAGATCATTTACGCTTTTAATACAACCCATATTATCGTAAGCGTCGGGATAATTGCTACGCAGTGCAGTTAAGATATATGGAAAGCAACCAATTAGAGCATTTCCAGGAATTATTATATGCCTCGCACCCATGTTGATCAGCTCCTGCATGATGCATCAATATATATTCAGTTAAATTAATTTGGTTAGTGTTGAAAAGATTTTGTTTATACGTATAATTAGTAAATTAATTGGAGATATATAGTAGTACTTACTCTTGTTGCACTTATTTGAGCTTCTGTTATGTAAGGCACATAAGTCCGTACTTCTCTAATTGATTTACCCAGTGAGTAGCCCACGTCATTGGCTTCAATATCCCCCAGCAGTATTAGAGAATTTGCCAACCTATTTGCACAGTCTGATCATATAGAAATAAATATAATTAATGAATTATATTATATTTTAGAAGGCTGATTAACACACACACACACACACACACACACACACACACATACATATATATATATTTGCACTGATATAATTAATTACCTGTTGGCGACGTGCAAACGGATTTTAGGTGTGCTTTAAACCAACTTAGTTGAAGGCTAAGAGGAACCGCATACGGTGGAATTTTGATGCCTCTCAATTTGAAAAACGTGTGGTCGAGGACTGGACTTCTTGCTACTGAGAATATGACTCCGTTGCTAGAGCTAGCATTGCTCGACAAAGAGGGAGTTATATGTGGAAATCCAAACTCAGCAGCTGCATAATCAAAATCAATAAGGCCATCACCCCAGCGGCCAGTAGGCCAACCGGGAAAGGTTCGACCATAAGGCGAACGTGCAGCCGGAAGTGAAGGGCCCCATGGGAGAACCAGAATGGAGTTTCCCACGTCAGTTACTCCATCTCCAAAATGGTACAAATACTGAAACGGACACCTAGTATTTTGGGACGAAGTTGCGCATACAAAAATCATCAGAAAAGCACAACTTACTTTGATGAAATACGAATTCGAATAAGAAATATCCATAACGAATTGAATAATAATATATATGAGGTACAACACTTGTAGTTAGTTGTTGTTCTTGTTGTATTGGCTTATAACTAATTTAATTTGTGCTTCCAACAATTCGATTCTTTGCATATATATAGGCCAAGGATTAGTGAGTACAATAGTATATTTGAACAGGTATATGTACAAGGCCAGGTCCTTACGTGGTATATCCAATTGCTATTATTTTGACCTTTTCCATCTTAAAAAACCGGCTTTTTTATTTTCCTAAAGAAAGAAACACTCCACACGTAGACGTATAGCATACGAGATATGTAAGAGTTATTCAATTGTCTTTTCTAATCAAGGTAATTATTACTCTGTTTCAATTCAAGAGTTATTCAATTGTCTTATATTAATTATATATATTGTATTATGGTTATAGAATCATTTGGATCTGTTCTATTTTCACAAAATTAAACTATATCCTAAGAAATTCAAAATTAAGACAACCAGATATTTCTTGAGTCTTGACCACGCGCGGTGTATATGCGCGTTTGAGAGTCAATAGAATGGAATATTTGATTGGTTACATTATAATATTTCTAATTCTTTTATTGAAGAAAATCGCTCTCATATAGTTCAGGGTCAACTACAGTGTAGAGGGTGGTTGTACTTCTGCGATAGTATAACAACTAGTGAGAATCTCGTGCGATGGACAAGATTTTCGTAACAAATTTTTTTTTGCAAAACTTTATTTTAACAATGTATTAGACCGTTGATCTGTTTATATTAATATAAATAACATTTTCACATATATATTTATTTTTTAATACAAAAAATAGAATTTTACATATTTTGTTTCATGATAATATTCAAATATAATTTTATTTACAAATTTATTGTCGTATAATATAAATATTATTTTTAACATTTGTAGAAGTAATTAATATTCTTTTTTATATAACTAGAACGTACCCCGTGCGGTGCACGAGACAAAGATATTAATTGAGTTATTTTCACAGTCTTGTCCGTTTAAGTCTAAAAAGTAATAATGTTATTATGTATTTTCTACCTCTTTTAATCAATGTTAAGTCTAAAAAATTATTAAGCCGCCCTCTGGCAAATATGCATGGAGTTATGTGTTCGTGTCTCATAAGTCACAAACATTATGAATAACATTACAAATATTCATTCAAAATTTTATTCATTGCAAATATATTAAAATAGTTTATATAACAACCATTAAATACCACTTTCAATATATTTATAAATAAAAAGTACATAAAATTTCTGGTGTGTTCAAATTTGAAACATTGGCATTTTGGTCGGTTGAAATTTAAATCATCTACCATGGTACTGTGATGTGTATTATATATATACAATTTTTTAACATATAATATGTGCTTTATAAAAATAATAATAATAATTTCACAAGATTTTAAACGTAAAATTTGGTTTTTAATCACACTAGAAAAATCATGGTAAGTTGTATTGAAAAAGGTGTTATGAGATAAAACAATTAACTAAAATAACTAAATAAAATACTTGATGGAAATAGAATGCATTAATGCATTAATTACTTTTGACTTTTCTTACTACTAATTTTAGTAAATAGAATGCCTTTTTATATAAGTATAGATGATAAATATTTAATGCATATTAAAATTATTTATTGATGTGATTAATTTAAAAATATGAAAGTAAATCTAGTGTTTGTTAAGAATGTGATAGATCTCGATATTTTAGGTATAAATATAATATATATATATATACTTATATATGATATGAATATCTTGAGATACAAAAGAAATATTTATGTGATTTATTACATTAATAAATCAGCCGCAATTACCTAAATTGTATTTTTAAAACATACCATAAAGTGTTTAAATAGTTTCCAGAATTAGTAAACATTGTTTTGGCGGCAAATAGTTACTATTGAAAAAATAATCAAACCTTTATATATATATATATATATATCAATAAAAATAAAAATAAAATAAGTAGAAATAAAATTATTTATTGAAAAATTTTAAAAATTTTAATCAATAAATTTAGATCAATTATTGATTTCACATTAACTTAAATAAAAAATTACATATGCATATAAATTATTCGCACTAAATATTTACTAATAATCACCAAATTATTGCAATTGATTTCTTTAGAAATCAAATAGTTCATCTCGGTCTTTTTATATATACTAAAAATAATTGAAAGAATCCATGTAAATAGGGATTCTTTCCAAAATTTTAAAAGGTGTTTTATTGAGATAATTGTGGATAAATTTTTTGAAAACAATTTCGTATTTTTTATCTAATAAAATTAATTTGAAGAATCCATATAAATGGGGATTGTTTCCAAACAAATGCGCATTTAGTTAAAACTTTTCTAATTATGCTATTTTTAGTATTTTAGCGGGAAATTGTTTCTAAATTTGTAAAAAGATTATTTTTATATATAATGATAGATTCAAGAAATCTATATATATATATATAAAAAGAATTACTATTTACTAAAAATAGTAATCTAAAAATTTAGAAAAGGATTTATTACATACTATTTTAAGAGTATTTTTTAAAAAATTTAATTAAGAATTAATTTGAAGTCTTATCCAAATTATTAAGGAATATGTTAAAAAACGTGCCAGATTGGTTTTAAAATTTAAGATTTGAATAGGTTACACCAATTGAATAACATCTCTGAACACAGCTCCACCAAGTACCTGGGTTTGCCCCTGGGAATTGGCAGCTCCAAAATCCAGGCTTTTTTTTGTCATCTTGGATGCAGTGAGAGGCAGAATTAATAGCTGGAAAAGCAGGTTCCTCTCCCCAGCTGGCAAGGAAGTGATGATCAAATCCATCCTTAATGCTCTTCCTGTCTTTGTGATGGGATGCTTCAAACTCCCCATTTCCATCTGCAAAGAAGTGTCCAGCTTATGTGCCAATTTCTGGTGGAGCAAGAATGGTGATCACTCTCAGGGTCTGCACTGGGTGGCATGGAATTCTGTGACTCTTCCAAAATCTCAGGGTGGTCTGGGTTTCCAAGACATCAGGCTCTTCAATGATGCCTTGATTATGAAGCAGCTCTGGAGACTTCTCACTATGCCTGATCTTCTGGTTAGTAGATTGTTAAAATCAAGGTATTTTTCTGACACTGGCTTTTGTGATGCTAAAAGGAAAGTTGGGGGTTCTTGGCTGTGGAACTCCTGGATGGGGGTGAAAATCAAATTTGATAAGCTAGTACAAGTCAGAGTTCTTAGTGGCAGGGACACAACTATTCTGGGATATCCTTGGATACCTTCTTTGGCGCTGCAGAGAGTTAACTTCAAGATGGGAATCCAGACTCACTGCACTATGGTTCATGAGTTGCTTCATAGTAATGGCCAAAGATGGAACTCTGCTGTCATTTTCCAACTCTTTGAAAGACCAGTGGCTGAAGCTATTTTGCATATTAATCTCCATTCTCACATGGCAGATAGCTGGAACTGGCATGGTGCTAGCAAAGGTTTGTTTTATGTGGCTTCTGCTTATTCAAGCCTCATTAGTGACAAAATAGCCATCATGGATAGGCCTGAGGGTAGTTCTTCTAAGGCGATGGATTTGATTATCAGAAATAGAACTTGGAAGTTAAGAATCAAGGGGAAAATTAAGCATTTCCTTTGGAAATGAATCACATGTTCTCTTCCAGTTAGTTCTAATTTTCTTAAGAGAGGTATGCCTATTGATCCTATCTGTCAAGTTTGTGGAGATGTTGTGGAAACAATTTAATATGTGTTGTGGCAATGATCAAAGGCTCAAAAAGTGCGGCACACAGCTCTTGTAAGCTGGGATTGTTTCTCTTGGCCTGCTGCCACTTTCAAAGAATGGTGGGGTTCTATTTGTTCAGTTGGAGTGAAGGCAATTGATGACAACCGCATTCAACTTTCGACCTACTTATTATGGTGGCTGTGTAAATCCCGCAACCTGTGGGTTTTTCAAAAACAACAACTCCCTGAGCTCAGTCTTGTCAGGCAAGCTTCTAGGGAATGGCTCGAGTTCTGTTCTATCTAACTGGGTGACTCCGGGATTGATATTCTAGGTCTTTGACAGTTTTTTATCATTGTCGGAGGGTTTTTTCTTTCTATTGTTCATTAGCATAGGATCTCAGCTCACTGCTGCCTATGTTTCTTATTTGATTTAGACCTCGTGTGAGAGGTCTCTCATTCTCGTTCGGGACATTCATCTATGCGTTGTATTTGGATATTTTTCTTTGATTTATGAGCAACCTATCGTTTTGATAAAAATAAATAAATAAATAAATAAATAAATAGGTTACACCAATCAAATTCATTCCAACATCTATCACCATTTATTCCTTGTCCAACTCATTTTATTTTGATTCCTTTTTCAAATCAATTGAAAAATCGTGTTATCTTTTCAATA